CCCCCTGGTGGGCTGAGCTGGCCACACACACCTCTCTCTCTCTCTCTCTCTCTCTCTCTCTCTCTCTCTCTCTCTCTCGCTCTCTCTCTCTCTCAAATAAATAAAAAAAAATTTTAAAAACAAAATCAGGGAGGTGAGCCTGTTGGCTCAGGACAGAAGGGTGCAACTGCAGGGAAACAGGCAGGATCTGCAGACGGGGATGGCTGGGTAGAACTCTAGTCCCTTTCTCTACAAGCCAAGGAGAGGTGGCACCCAGGGTCTCTGAAGTCCTCCTAGCTGTGACAGGAAAGAGGCTGGAGTGTGAGAGAGAAAGAGAAAAGAAAGAGAAAGAGAAAGAGAAAGAGAAAGAGAGAGAGAGAGAGAGAGAGAGAGAGAGAGAGCGAGCATGCGCTGTGTGTGTTCAATGAACAGAGACCAGGGCTGTACTGGGGAGGGCAGACCCATTTCACTAGGACTCAGCCCAGAGGTCATCCTACAGATGTGACATTTCTGTCTTCTCTTCCCACTAAGCTGAAGTGGAGGCTGCATCTTCCTTTCTCCATCCCAGCAGCAGGCCTGCTGCAAAGTAGGTGTGCAGTGCTAAAATGAACTGTTTCCTCAGAGAGATGGCTCTTCCCAGAGGAGCAGAAAAAACAGAAAACAAACCAGCAAAAGCTACAAGAAGCAGACAGAGTGGGGCTCTAACCTGCACATTGTGACTTGTTGAGTCACAGGCAGTTTATCCCTCAAGATGCCCCTCCCCTGTTAGTCAGCCACATGGGGGTGGGAGCTCTGACAGAGGAGCCAACACACCCACAGGCGCTCTGCTGGGAAGCCAGGCCCTTCAGGTGTCCTCTCAGCCGCTGCTGGGTGGCATAAGCCTAGCAGAGGCCATCAGAAACCAGCCTGCCAGGCAGCCAGAAAGAGGGCCTGCAGTGCACGGGGAGTACAGGGGTACAGGGGACAGGAAATAGGAGGGGCTGGTAGTGATTTCCCAAGAAAAGTCCAACAGGATAGAGGTTCCTAAATCCCAGGCAACACTGTGAACCAGGACTGAGGATACAGCTCAAAGGCATAATGCCTGCCTGGTAGGTGTGAGGTTGTGAATTTGATTCCTGGTACCAAAAAATAAATAAACACATCCTTAGAAAGAGATCCAAGGGGCCGGGGAGATGGCTCAGTAGGATAAGCGCTTGACTGGCAAACTCAAGGATCTGAGTTCAATCCCCGGTTCTGCCAAAAAAAAAAAAAAAAAAAAAGAAAGAAAGAAAAAGAAAGAGATCCAATTCTTTACCTGAAGTCAAGAGCTTGTTGGTTTGGGTGTTTGTCACTGCAGGCAAATGCTGCAGTCAGGGCAGACCCAGCTCCACGGAACAACGGTCCTTATGCAACCTCAGATGGCTCCTGGGCTCTGTGGACGGTGTCTTATAAAGAGAAAAACACCCTAAACTCCTCGCTCTCCCCAAACCACACATAATCAGACTCTTAACAGGGCTGCTTCTAATTTCTCCTAGGTACTTATTACAGATTTTACATAAAATTGGTTCAGTACCTATATTGTTTACTTTGTTTTCTACTACACTGTATTTTCTTTCCCATACTGCTAAAATTCTTTAAAAATATGATCTCAACTATAACATTACTGTGAAAATATTTTTACCATTTTTCTGTGTGGAGGCACATAGAATGTCTCCAATTTTGCTCTATTCTATTTAACACTGCAATGCACAAGAGATAAATCTTTGTGCCCATCTCTGATGACTTCCTTAGGATAAGTTCCCAAAAGGGAAAGAGGAGCGCATTTTTTGGAAACGTATTTTTGAGTCAGCTTTTCCACAGTAATGTTCACAGCCACTCAGAGCCGTCAGCTGCAGGCCTCCTGCCCGCTCTCTCCAAAGTGCGTCTAGAATTGTCCATCACGAAAAATCTGTAGGAGGCAGCTGTGTCCTGCTCACCTAATGGAAATTTTGCATTTTTGAACTCAGAACTTAAAGACAGAAAAATCTATCTGTAGGTCTCCTACTAGGTGGTTTCAACAATGTACACAATGCCCTAGTTGCTTACCCCCAAAAAGGGCTCTATGTGAACATCGGCATCTCCTTAAAAGAAGACTTCTACCCCCTTAGCAGACTTCATGGGCTCGGAGCCCATAAAGCCAGCACTGGCATAGGTACCTGGAGTGACCTGGAGTGACACTGGCATAGTGGCCTGGGTGGTCACATAATAGCACACTAACAGAAGGTTCTCTTCTAAAAGGGAGGAGGACCTTGCTCCAGGGTCCTGGTGAGCTTGCTATGAGAGACAGCATAGTCCAGTGAGGATACAGAGCAACAAAAGTAGTCATTATGTCAGCAAAACTGCTGTTTGACCCCTGACCTTCCAAGCCTACAATCACTAAAACAGTGTGAAAATATCACCTGCCTGCAACTCTTTGACTTGCACCAGATTCTGAAACAGGCACCAGAGGATAAAACAACTTGTCCTTAGGGAAGCACGGCACACACTTACGGAGCCTCTGCCCTGACACTGGGGCTGAGATGCAGACGAGGCGGCTTCCCAAAGGGCAGCACCTACGGCTCAGCCCTTTTCCCTGGTGGCACCATCTCCCTACCCTCAGACTGTGGTATTTTTGCCTTCTGGTTTCATTTCAAGGACCCTTTCACAGATACACCTGAGGCTACAGACTCCTTGGGCTGTGGCCTGAATGAACGAGCCTCCCTACTCTGTAGGGTCAGAGCACAGTGAGAGCAGGCAGCCATCTCAACCAACCAAGACCAGCTAGGGGCTTGTCCAGGGCTCTGTCTTGGAGTCATGAGTGTGACCCTGCGAGAGACCCATACACAAACACATCCCCAGGCCCAGGTCTGAATGTGGGTATCCAGGACAGACCAAAGAAGAAATGATACAGGGACAAGAGTAGGAAAAACAGGCAAATGAAAGGGTGGAAGGAAACCAAGTGCTGGCAGGACACACCCACATGCAACCACAGACACAGGCACTGGCAATGCAGGACCTGTGGGTCCTAACAGAGAGAGACAGAGACAGAAAGAGACAGAGCGAGAGAGCGAGAAAGCGAGAGTGAGAGAGCGAGAGAGCGAGAGAACGAGAGAGCGCGCGAGAGAGAGCGCTCTGAGCTCCTGAATCAAGATTCAGAAATGAAATACATGTCCCATCCAGCGGCAATGGATGCCCACCCATAGGCTGAGTCATGGTGACAAATGGTTGCTGTAAACCCCCAGGTTTGGACACAGCTATTACACAACATTGTTGTGGCAATAAACTACCGATACAATGGTATCTGGCAAATAAAATCCCTATGCTGACCTCAATTGACCAGGCCAATTCCTTTCCAGAACTTTTCAGAGTTCAGACGCTGGAGGCAAACAGGAAACATAAGAAACCAGAAAAGAGCTCCCCTCCCTTTCCCACCATGGGCCAGAGGAGGGGAAGGGGCCAGCGAGGGTTTTGTGACCTCCCCAGGTGGCTTCTTGGAGCTGGAAAAGAGATTTCATCCCAAGTGCCAAATGTGAGTCAGTCCCAGAGCTGCGTAGCCAAGGAGTCCTGCCCAGGTCCTGCCTCTGTAGGAAGGGAAGCAGCCATCCCTCAGTCCTGTCTGCCCCGCTATGGGAGGGAGGCAGGTTGCACATTTGCTACTACCGAGTTTGCCGTCCCAAGACATTTCACTGTGCAAAATCAAGATGATTGGGGAGGAGATGGGGGTGTAGGGGAGGCAGTAAAAACTGGAACAACTATAAAACAATACTTGCCACCAGGCTGTGCTTCCTGAAGCCTCAAAGGCACCATGCAAGAGCCCTCTGCTCTACACCCAAGTATTAATATTCCAGGGAACCCTTAGCAACAGGCCCTGACATCTGTTCTGTTACTATGATACGGGAAACAGGATGATAGCTCAGAGATAAGGTGAGCTCAGATGTCAACATTTCCCCTACTTGTCAGGCACCTAGGAGGATGAAAGATCCAGACAGGAAGCCTCCAAGGCCTGTCTGAAATGAAGGGACCACTCACTTGGAAGGGTCTCGGGCTCATTATGCACCAGGCAGAACCTGAGAGGATTTGGGAGATGAGACAGGAGCTGTAGGGAAGCCAGGGCCTGACAAACATCCCTAAAACTGCTCTGTCATCATGCATCCTGCTAGATATGCCTCCTTAGGGTGACTCTTCTCTCCTCCTCTCACCTCTGATTCTCACTGCCTTGCCCAAACTGTGAGAATGTGGAAAAAGCTTCCTAGTGGACTTTTGGACCTCTGAGGGCTCACCCTCACCCCTCTTCATAGGCAGGCAGAGTTTCTCTTTACAGTTTAAGCAAACCATGTGATTCCTCCATCAATGCCATCAATGGCTCCCCACTACCACAGGGGAATACCCAAGGTGTGCTCAAGGCTGTCCAGGATCTGATCCAACCCATCATTCCAGTCTCACCTGCTACCACATCCCTCTGCAAAACCCAGGCTCAGTCACGGGGGCCCGGACATGCCACTGGCACTCAGTTGTGTCCCCTGCACCTACTCGTCTATAATGGCTTTTCTTTCTACTGACCCTCTACAGATAACTAGAATCACCTCCTCTGAGAATTTCCTAGCTCCTTCCCATTCAGCCACCACTTGGACTGGCCTCACCTCGCTCCCCCAATTCCACGCCATATCCCAGGGGATTTTTGGTTCTGCTGTCCCTATAAAGACCATAGCTCTAGGGATAGGCCCTTCTTGGGGTCTCTGGCCTAGCACAGTGCCCAGAACATGGTACAGAACACTTGCGAGAAACAAATACTAACTTTTGCCACAGCCTACAGAATAAGGTGCAGTCTCCTCAGTGTTGAATTCAAGGCCCAACAGTGTGACCCCACCTCCTCAACCATCCTCCTCCCACACCATCCTCTGAATGGGCCTTGCCTGTCCTGTCTTAGGACCACTCGGCAAAGTGGTTTACACCAACTAAAACTATGGGGCATCAAGAAAGGACTCTGATGGTAGGAATGGTTGACAACAGTACAATGTCAGGGTCAATATCTAAAAAACAAAAACAAAAACAAAAAGAAAGAAAAGAAAAAGACCAGGAAAAGGATGCTCACAGCAAGATCAGGTACAAGAAGTGGAAGCACACAGTCCACACGGAGATGGCCCAATGTCTCCATCACATACTGATGTGGCAAAAGCAAAGCAATGTGTCTGAGCAGGGTGTGGGATCATGGGTGAACCCAACTTCTCTAATCATCCTCAAAAGATGAGTTGGCAATAAACAGATGAGGGCACACAACCTGTCTTTCTGGCCCACTCAGATTCCTCCTCTTAGGTGGGCTATTGAGGCCCTGCAAGACTCCTGTAAACTTTGTTGCCTCTGCCCTTTGAGGCATGATCAACTCTGGACACCACGTGATCCACGCCATTGTGCCTTCCTCCTTAGTCACAGAGCTAAGAGATTATTGTCCTCATCAGGGCAAGAACTAGCAGCTTTCGGTTTCGCTGCACTATCTGTTCACTGAACACACACTGAGTACTGACTATGCACTAGGCATGTTCCTGCAGCTCTGGCTCCTGCTTGGGGCCAATCGTGGGTTGATTTTCTTTGTACTCCCATAAGTTTCACGTGTTCACACACAGAAATTCTCATCTAATGCTATAGGCTTTTTTTTTTCCTAATCCATAAAAGAAAATCCTCCAGAATGTTTAGTGATTTAAAATACCCATTCCAACAGACTCAAAATCACTGCCTTTCTCTTTGCCTTAACTTGAAACCATTTTCTCTTTTCCAGGGCAAAATGTTATGCAAAGCCTCTACTCCAAAATGAGATGCAAAATATCCCATGTTCCCTCTCCCTCAAAGCTCCTTGTTCTGCCTGTGCATCCCCAGAGGTGCAGCTTGCTTTTGTCGTTTCTGAAAGGCCTGACACTGAGCAGGTAACACTCCCGAATCAAGGCAATCAGAGCACTGAAGGCAGCAACTCTGGGGCAACCACACTCCCTGGGCAAAAGTCACCATGCGAAGGCACAGGAAGGAGGGGAGCCTCGACAGCTGGCTTCTTGCCCTTTAGCAGAGCTCTGTGCCCCCCGCCCCATGCAGTTATCTGTCTCCTAGGTTGGATGCCACTAGGTACTGCACACTGGGGGAGTTAAAACAGTTCTGGGGTCTGGAAGGTCAGAGCTCAGGTGCCAGCAGGGTTCAGCTCTCTCTGAAGGATGAAGGGAAGGATGAGTTCCTCGCCTCTCTGCTGGCATCAAGTGCCTGCTGGCAATGCTTGGCACTCCTCGGCTCACACCTCTCTGCCTCCAGCCTCTGTCCTCATCACCGCAGGGCCCTCCTGCCTCTCGGGCTATCTTTCTTCTGCCTCTGTCCTCTTTGAAGGTCATGCATCCAATAGGATTAAGAGCCCACCCAACTGCAGAACGGTCTCTTCTTAACTAAGGCTATCTACAGTGACCCTACTGCCAAATAAGACCACGTTTTGAGTTTCTAGAAGTCAGAACTTGAACATAATCTTTTTGGGGGAAACTATTCAACTCATCCCATAGGATCCAGGATGCAGAGCCCTAGCCCAGGGCTAGAATTAGAATTTAGCTCAATAGCTACATCAGTCTGTGAGCACAGATGTGTAAGCTGGTCTAAAATGCCCCTGGAGTTCCTGACGCATGCAGGACCGTGACAGGGATATGTCATATATACAAAAAGAATAATCAGGAAAACAGCCTGCTTTGGTCACTGCTTGTCTTGGGGGTTTTTAACAAAGGACCTATGAACTTGAACGAGGGGGAAAAAAGTGTTCTCATTAACCTGTAAATGAAATTTTTAAAAATTTCCTTTCATCATAGGTACAGGCAACATGTCAATCATATCATCACTCTCTACCTGTGCCATAGTCATCAGTGGGATTGCAGACATTTTTCCTTCACAGAACAGAGTTGCACATATCTTGAAATATTTGTTTGCTGCTACTTTGAAACTGCAATCATAATTAGACCTACTGCAAGGCTGCTGTCTTAATGGATCAACAAAGAAGCACACAGACTACTAGATTAGAAGCCTTTACAAAAACATCCTGATAACTGTAAGGTAATATGAATACAATTAGTTTCCTCTGAATTCTGTGTGTACTTAAACCCATTATTTCACCAGACTGTCAAAAAAGAAAAAAAAAAAAAAAAAAAAAAAGAAGGGATACCCAGCACAAAAAGAGAAGGAAGAGGAAGAGGAGGAGGAGGAGGAGGACGAGGACGAGGAGGACGAGGAGGAGGAGGAGGAGGAACTACAATTAGAACTTAGCTCAACAGTTGCAGGAATAATAAGTCATCAGCGTACACAAGTCTCTGCTCAGAAAATGCCCAACTCCTCCTAAAGGGTGCCTGGCTTGAGACGTGCAGTGAGGGACGTTGATGCTATTTTTCTTCTAATATAGAAATATAACCTGCTTCCATTTGTGTGATTTATGTGGGTCTGGTAAGTCCCAGGCAAATAGAATTTTTGCCAAGGAAATCTGACTTTTCCTCACATCTGGGTGCTGCTTATTGAAAGAGCCTAAGAAAACCTCTCTATAAAGCAGAGAAGACCCTGGAAAATCTGGCCCACCCTACCCTTACCTGCTAGGATAAGTCCCAATCCTCAGGCTAGCTGACACAGTGGTTCTTTGGGTCCCTGGGAGCAGCTTCCCTCAGTGTCACCTTCCTCAGACAGCTGCTCCCTGGTGGCTCTTCTCTGGCCCTGCCAGCCACTTCTCCATCCTTCTTCTGCCCAGACCCTGGCCCTGGGCGTTTGCTTAAAGCTCGCAGCCAAGGCAACCCCAGCTGACCCAGACTACTATCTGCGGGCCAGCTGTCCCCGCTTGTTCATGGAAACACAAACAGATGTTTCTCTGTTCCAGCTCCAAGGTTAAGCACCACACTGCCTAGGAACCAGCTGTCCGCTTCTCTGCACACGCTCCATGCCCCTGGCAGAGGCTGAGACCCCACATAAGTGGGAATGCCCATCACAGAGGACCATGGTGTGAGTTGCCAAGGGCTTGGGCAACAAAAGCAGACCAGACTCAGACTGGAGGCTACCCCAAAACAGGGCTGGATACTGAGAAGATGGGCAGGGAGAACAAACAACCAAACAAACAATGGCATTTTGGCAAAGCCTTAAAGAGGAGCCCACAAATTTAAAAATGCCCTACACATTTGCACATGCTCAGCCTGACCCTGGAGGCTGCCACACTGGGAAAAGGAAAGCAGCTGGGCTTACAGGTGCTACCTACCGCAGGTGCTTGCCATGGCTAACCAGCCGGAACTCACCACAAGCCCAATGGGATGACATGATCACCTTCCCCTTTCAGAGAAGAGGATACCAGCCCTTGAGAGGTGCAGCTACTTGCTCAATGAGACATGGCTGGCACCTGACACCCAGTTTGGTCCAACTGAGCTGGGCTGAACCCCTGGTCTCTCTTTCACCTTCTCTGCCTCCAGCAGATGCCACCTGCTGCAACTGGTGGTGCCCAATAAAAACAATAAACCAAAGAGTATTCTCCAAGCAACTCCCATGCACCCAAAACTCAGGAGTGTGCCAGGAGCTCATACAAACTGAGTCAAGCAGGAGCTCTGAGAAAGTCAGAGTGCCCGAGAAGGTTCTACAGAGGAGGTAGGTGGGTGCAGCATCCCAGGAATTAGAGGGGCAGGGCCAGGGTTGCTCTCGTCTTACTTCCACCTCCAACCCACAAAGTGAAGAGGCACAAAGGGAGCAATCTCTGCCAAGTCCTGGGGCCTTCTTCAAAGTTGGCCCCTGCTCCCACCCTGCCCACTGCCAACCCAGGGGCTCACAAGACCTGAGCCTGCCTGGGATTCTAAGGATTCCCTGTCATTTTCTGACTGACTGGCCACCTAAGGGCCCTCCAAAGCCCCTGCTCTTCTCCAGTAGTTTCAAACCAAGCCCAGGGTTCTCACCTGGGAGCCCATGGCCATTCTCAGGCTCCTTCCTGCCTTGCAAAATGTGTCACCAGACAGAAACGCTTGGTATAAATCCCCTGCCTGAGCCCACCCCCCACATGTCCACAGCCTCTGCCCCAGCCTCAAGACATGCTCCCTTGTGACATCTTTATTAACATCAGTTTTACCTCTTCCAAGCAATTCTATGTTCTGGTGGTTTGTGAAGATGTTTGACATCTCCAACTGGACCAAATGTTCCCTGCGAGCAGGACACACCTCACAGCCAGATGGTATTCAAAACACAGAGTGCAGGAACAGAACTGAGAACACAGAATTAAACCCCTATGACTGCAGTCAGCTGATTTTCAACATGAGTGCAAGACCACTCCATGGGAAAGTCTCTCCAACCAGTGGTGCTGGACAGCTGGGAAGCCACACACAAAGACTGAAGCTGGACCCTTATGTTAAGCAATTATAAAAGTTAATTCAAAATACTTCAAAGATCTAAGCCTAAGAGCTAAACCTATAAAACTTAGAAGAAAATATAGAGACAGGTAAGTCTTCATGACTTCAGATTGGGCAAGGATTTCTCAGGTGCTACCAAAAACATATGCAACAAAAGAAAAAACTCAGATAAACTGGACTTTACCAAAATTAAAACATTTTGTGTATCAAAGGACAACATTAAGACAAGAAAAAGATAACCCATAACATGGGAGAGAATATTTGCAAACTATCTAATAAGGGTCTACTATTTACAATATATAAGCGACTCTTACAACTTAATAACAAAAATGACAAAAAATTCAGTTTAAAAATGAACAACGAGCCAGGATGGTGGTGCATGCCTGTAATCCTAGCACTCAGTATGGGCTACACAATGAGATCAAAACTAGCCCAATGGAGAAATATGAATGCCCTAAATAGCAAACGCAGATACTCAACATCATTAGCTGCCAGGGAAATGCAAGTCAGGCCGCCCAGTATGGGACATTATTTCATACCGCTATAATCAAACAAGTGGACAATAACAGGTATTGACGAGGATTTCAGAGAAAACAAAACCTTTGCATAGTGTTGGTGGGAATGTAAAATGTAGGAAATGGGGGCCAGGGAGATGGCTCAGTAGAATAAGTGCTTGCCTGGCAAGCACAAAGGCCTGAGTTCAATCTCTGGTTCTGCAAAAAAAAAAAAAAGGAAATGGTTTGAGACTTCCTCAGAAAGTTAGATATAGAATTATCATATGATCCAACAATTCCTCTCCTAGGTACAACCAAAAGAATTGAAAGCAGGTGTTCAAACAAAAACTTGTACACAAATGTTCACTGTAGCACTATTTGCAATAACCAAAATGTGCAAACAACTCAAATGCCCATCAACTATGAGCGGATGAACAAAATGTGGTGTGATCACACATCGGCACATTATTTGGCTATGCAATGAAACAAAGACCTACGCGTGGTGGCACATGCCTACGACTCTAAGCACCCTAGGAGGCTGCAGCAGGAGGATCACAAGGATGCGTAGTTCTCTTGGTGGTGTAAAATGTCCTAAAACTGACTATGGTAATGGATTCAACTATGCTAAAAACCATGTGAATTGTACCTTAATAAAGCTGTCTAGAAAACAAACATGCAGGACTGAACAGATAGCTCAGTGCACTAAAGCCAGGTGCTGGGACCAGGGTCCGATCCCCTGCATGCCATGCCAGCCCCACCCCCAAGGCACATTGAGCCAGGGACTAAGATTGGGCATGGTGGTGCACACCTGTAATCCCAGGGCTTGGGAGGCTGAAAACAGGAGGATCACTAGGAGTCTGATCTGTATAGTGAGACCCTGAATTAAATACACTAAAAAAAAAGAAAACAAAAGAGAACAAATTCGCAGTACAAGGAAGAATGAACCTGGACTCTAAGCAGAGTAGCCAGATCCAGTCTCAGGGGGCAGAAAGGGGCCACTTGCTTTCAATGCCTAACAGGCTGGGGACAGATGAACTGCAAATTAACCCTGATTAAAACAAACAAACAAACAAACAGATGGTCCATTTGTGAAAACACTCTATGAGACGAGGAGGGAGGAGGAGGACGACGAAGGGGGGAGAAGGAAAGAGCAAATACAGTTAAACACTAAGAATTACTAGAATCTAGGTGAAAGGATGACAGGGGTTCTTTTCTATAACGGTTGAAGACTTTCATAACAACCTTTCATAATGAGCTCTATGGCTAAAACTGGAAGGCTCTGAATGACAGTATAAATTATAATCAAATTGGATTTTAACCCATAAATGATAGTAGATATCTAGTCTTTATGATATGTGAATTAGTGAATACAGAGGAGAGGAACTTTCTCTTACAGAAGAGTCCCAATTAATAAATATAGAAGGAGTAGAAGAAACAGAAAAATCACTAAAATGCTACAGAAGTAACCGTAATGGGCAAGACGCACTGAGGGGTGTAGGCGAGAACTGGAGAAGCAGAGCTGGAGAAGCAGCAGGACATGTGCCTCATCTCAAAGTGTTGCCCCAGGACACTGATTAATTACAAAGGAAACAAGAGACCCAACATGGCCTCAGTAGGTCTCTTGTCAAAAACACATCAACCCAACCTAATCATGAGAAAACATCAAACTCAAATGGACAGAGAGAGCTGTCTAAAGCAGTTCTCTTAAAAAATGTGAAGCTCATGAAAAAGAGAACAAGGAGGGGTTGTGACAACAAGAGTTGCTGAACGAAGGCTACAGGAATTCTCTGGAATATTTCTTTAAGTCAAATTATTTTGGGCTGTGGATATAGCTCAGTGGCATAAATGGCTGCATGGCAAGCACAAGGTCCCAATTGAACACCAGTACTTGAAAAAAATATATA